TAGAAATTGGTGATCTCGACTCCCCACACAAGTTCCCAAAAACAGCTAAATGGGGCAGCTTTAAGCGGTGACACGCATGAGTGTGACATATTTGTAAAATTATGCTCTCACTCTGTCTGCCTCAGACAAGAGTCTGCTGCCACACTTGTAACAGGATCAAATGAGTGTAGAGGATTTGGCTTAGGTGTATTTTGCTGAGTCAAATGTAAGCACGCCCTGTAGCAGTGAGCAGATGAAGTCACTGGGCAAAAGTCTGATCGATAAAAAGTTGTCTTGCTGAACCAGCCACCCTCTGTACTCCACGAGGAGTTTATTAAAAGCTGACAAATTAGCTACATTAGCTTCACAAAAATGTGAAGGGTAAGATGGGAACTCCCCTCTGACTACAACGCTGTCACTGACTAACACTTTTAAGAGGAAACTAGATTTGCTTCTTCTGCACTGGTTTTTATATTGTTTTGTCTATTTTCATATTATACATATCCGTATATAAAGAGAGAAGGAGCAGAGCTTTGTGTCATATTAATGGTATTATGACTTTATTGTTACCAATGGTTTCACATTAAAGTGTTTGGGGTGCTGCTAATGTTTGCCTTACGTGCTGTATTAACTTCATAACATATAAAACAGTAATCCAGACATGGTTGTACTAAGTAAATACAACTGACTGCTTATTTACAGTAAGTCCAACTGAAAAAATAATCATTAATTCCCATGAAGAATTAAGAGAATTTTTTTTAATTTACAAAAGTGGATCTTTTTTGTTAAAAAAAAGCAAAAATGCGAGTGTAAAAGAGACTGTAGGAGATATTTACAGCTTATGACGTATGAGGCTCACAGTACTCCGTTGTGATTTATGGACAACATGAACTAAATATCCCCCTAGCTTAGGTGACGGATGTGCTCCTGTATAATTTATCATGGCTCCAGTGACAAAAACCTGTGGGGTTTTTCTCTTTAAGCCTCAGGTGATTTTAAGAAAGTGATGACATTTGAAGTGGAGGTGATTTATGGTATGAAATTGAGATTGCAGCGTGACAAAAAAGCATTTTTGACATTTAGTAAATCTTATCTCAGTTTACAGTCAGCTGTGAATTGAATTATTAATGCCTGCCAAAAGACAGGTTTGGGAGCTTAAATCTTACTCTTAAGTTAAGAAACTTTGGCTCCCTTTTTTAATATAGTTTTTGCGCTTACTTGGTTTCCCTACCCTCTTCAAATTCCTTAGAAATTTCACATAATACAATACACTCAACAATACACTCAAATCGCAGTGCTTAGTTTTTGTTAGATCTGTCAAACTTGATATTTGACCATGTAAACCACTTTAGCTTTCATTTAGTGTTTCACAACTCTGCTGCTAACTGTGACGACTACCACATGATCTGCTTTCCCACTCAGTGTTTCCATGTTGATACTCAACACACGTATCAAACAGCCACCCCTGAATAAGCAACACTTAAAAATGAATTCCATCTGCCTTACTGTGACATCGTGTATTTCAAGCTAGAGTTTTGGGTATGTCCAGAAAAAGTAGAGGAGAATACCTGGAGAGCTTTGAAACTTAGCACTACTAACACGGTCATGACAGGAGATAAAGAGAGCTAGCACTACAAAAAGTCAAACGACTCTTATCCAGGGGAATACCAGGAAGTTCATTTTTTAACATGTTCAAAAATCCCAAATTTTCTGAGTAAATTACTTCAGTGATGATTCGGCCTTACTCACGGTTTCCAGTGAAAGGTGCTGGTGACACCACTCAAAGTGATTAACATGAAAAAACTGGGAACACTTGGGGGAGTGAAACATGCTTCTGAGGAAAGATAAGAGATGTTATTAGGTGTAGGTTTAAAAAGTTCACACAGACTGAGGTTATTTTTGGTGTTGTAGACTAGCAGCGACCTTTCGTCTGCACATCTTATTGATTTCTAATGAAAACTCTTTGATGTGCATGTGCAGGAAAAGTTATCGAGAATCGGGCTGTGTTTAACTTTCCCAGTGGATTTAGCAGGAAACACCCGGGAAATTCTTTGCCTCCCTGGAAGCACATCAGACAATAGCCAGTTCAGCGTGCCTTGCCCCCATCAAAGTTTGGCTTCACCTTATAGAATCCAATGCATGTCCTATCAAGTTCAGTAATCCAAATCTCTTACTATCGCTCATCTCACCCACATTCTTACCCTTCTCCCCTCACCCCCCCACAACCAGTGTCTCACCAGTGTGTGTGCCTTGAACTAGATTTTATGCCTTACAACATGCAACCAGGTGAGTCTCCAGGCTATGCAGGGTTTGTGCTTCCTTTTCAATTTGGGTTCACACTATAATTCAGGACCAAACTGCCCTTAACAATAACAATGAAACATTGACATTAAAGTCGATTTCTTTATGAATAAACTTATTTATTTCTTTTCTTTTTCAGTAGCAGAAGTAATCAGTTACATAGACCAGCCTTCATGTTCACGTTCATAAATGGATGGATGTAGTGAGTTATTTTTTTTTTTCTCACTGCTTGCTTGTGTTTATTTGGGGGGGTTTGTTTGTTTCTTTCGTGCGGTGGTTGTTTGTGTTTTTTTTGCTACATTCTTTATTTTTGTTTTCTGCCGGATTGTAATAACAACAACACTCGTTTAATCCACCAGAGAGAATGGGGGGAAAAAAGGTTTGAGTTTTATTGTATCCCTCTCCAGTTATAATGAACTGGGGGAAATCACACAAAGTAAATATAGAAGTTCGTGGAAAACTGTGAGGCAGGTTTCTATAGAAAGCCAAGCACTTTGCAATTCGGTAGAAATCTTAATAGCTGGAGGACAATTTTAAGTGGGTGGAATACGTCGAAGTGATGATTGCGTAACTTTCGCTCTTAGTCACAGTGACGTGTCAGTGTTTGAACAGAAGAGGGCGCCCTGTATCCACAGTTTACCCAGACAAACACAGAAGGCACAATGTGAAGCAAAGAGAATCAGCGCCCTTACTTATATTAGACTATGCTTAAGCCCACTAATAAAAACTTCTATCATCATTGATGATCTCAAACAACAATATAAAATGTATGTTTCATTGAGGATGAAATTGGGGGCAGCTTATCTAAGCATAATAGCAGTATACAGTCTATTGTATTCATACAGAGCCAAAGGAATTCCAAATTAAAACGAATTACTCAGCTCCTCCCGAGGAAGTGGAAGTTGCAGCATGCAATGGAGAAATCAAATAACTCTGGAGGATGACAGAGAGTGGGGTGTATCCTTTTACCAGCTACAGAAAGTGTTCAGTAGAACATCAAAAAGCATTAAGGCAGTACAGAAAACTGTATAGACAGGCCATTGCCACTCCCAGGGCATTAAAGACGGGTGCACTTTGACGTAGGTGATGTGACTCAGTCTTTGTAGCAAAAGTGAGAGGATGTCACTCCCAGTTTGTAGCATACTCCTTCTGCAGGGATGTGTCCAAAGAAAGGGTTGTGGGGTGGGGCGGCCCCCAGAGTAAACTGCTGTTAGTCTTATATAGGCAAGCACCACTGCATGAGAGCACGGATAGCATCATGCACTCATTGTCTTTACTGAGGTCAAAGTTAGTTATGTGTTAGTTTGTTGACAATATATTTTGTTGTATTATTTCAGATAACGCTAACCATCAGCATGTACCTAATTAAAATAATCTCCAGCTACACTAACATTTTATATATATATATATATGAATTGTTAGTGTAGCTGAGCACAATGCTATTAATAAAGTAGGGTTATGACTTTTACAGAGGTAAAATGTTTAAAAATGCCAATATTTTTTCATGATCAAATGCAAATCTTGATTTTGCACATCTCTGCTGAAGTGCACCATTTAAAAAATAATAATAAATAGACACACCCCTGTTGTTCAGGGTGCTTGGCAACCTAGCCACAGGGTAGCTTTAGGATTTTTCTACATGCACAGTTGTAAGAAGAGATAGATAAAAGTGAAATCAGGAGATGAAATCACAAAACTCCCAAAGAGGACTCCTGGTTGAGTTTTTTTCCACCTTGTCTGTCTCTGGGATCAGAACACTTTGTTAAAGACCTTGAGTGCACTCTGACGCACAGTTATACGTGACTTAATGACACTATTTTATGCTG